TGATGCTGCTTGGCCTGCTGTGTTCATCCAGCCCTGCACCTTGTTGTTTCAGACTAAAGTTCTGTGACCAGCAGTGTGCCACAAGGATCAGTGTTATTCATCATTTATATAAATGATTTGGATAAGAGTTTAGGAGATATGGTTAGTGAGTTTGTGGATGACACCAAGATTGGTGGTGTGATGGACAGTGAAGAAGGTTATCTGGGAATCTAGTGAGATCTTGATTGACTGTGCCCAGTGGGCTGAGGAATGGCAGATTGAGATAAATTAAATTCAATAAATGCAAGGTGTTGCATCTTGGTAAGGCAGACCAGGGCAGGACTGACACAGTCAATGGTAGGGCCCTGGGGAGTTTTAGAGACCAAGGGGATCTAGGGGTACAAATTCATAGCTCCTTGAAAATGGAGTCACAGGTAGACAGGGTAGTGAAGAAGGCTTTCAGCATGCTTGCTTTCATTGCTCAGAGCATGGTGTATAGGAGTTGAGACGTCTTGTTGCCCCTGTACAAGATGTTGGTGAAGCCACATTTTGGAGTACTACGTGCAGTTCTGGTTGCCCTACTATAGAAAGGATATTATTAAACTAGAAAGAGTGCAGAAAAGATTTACGAGGAAGTTACCTGGACTGGAAAGTTTAAGTTAGGAGAGATTGGATAGGTTGGGACTTTTTTCCCTGGATCGTATGAGACTGAGGGGTGACGTTATAGATACCTGTAAAATCACGAGAGGCATAGATAGCCGGCAGCATTTCCTCATGGTAGGGGAGTCTAAAACTGGAGGGCATAGGTATAAGGTAAGAGGGGAGACTTACAAAAGGGCCCAGAGGGGCAATTTTTTTCACAAAGGGTGGTGAATATCTAGAACGGGCTGCCAGAGTTAGTGGTGGAAGCGAGTACAATTTTGTCATTTAAGAAACATTTAGATAAGTATGTGGATAGGATAGGTATGAATGGATATGGACCATGCGGAAGCAAATGGGACTAGTTTAAATTGTGAAAACTGGGTGACATGGGAAAGTCGGCTGAAGGACCTGTGTCCATGCTGTAGAGCCCTGACTCTTGGACTCGAAGTGACCATTAATTAACCACTTAAGATCCTTAATTGCTGGCAAATTGTGAAAACATTTTCTCGCTGGCACTTCATTGAAGAGTTGACAAGAAAGGTGCAAATTTCTCTCCAGGGCAAAGGCACACAATTATTTCTCTTCTTGGTCACTCTTGCCACTTCCAGGGATAGAAAAACCATGTTCTGAAGCTTTCAACTGTTCCAAGTTAATCAGATAATGAAATATAAGCATACCAATTTCTCAAAAATAAAAATAAAATAACTCATATTTAATTAGTGACTTGTGTTGCCTTGGGCTGTCCTAAATCAGTTCACAACCATTGGATTAGATTTGAAGTGTCCTTAATGTATTTCAGTAGGTTATACGTCAGCCAATTTATGTGAAATGAAATTTTTGCAAATGAAATAACTTGTTCATTATATTTTTGCTGGTGTTTATTGGGTAAACATGGGATTAAAATTTAAAGATGAAATTTTACCTTTTTAAAAATTATCTTTGGATTATCTTTATTAAAGGTTTGGAAGGATTTGGCCTTTCTCAAAGCGTGGGTTTGCAGTTGATTAGCCTGCAGTTATCATTCTGTGCCTGCCTTTTTCTGGACGTTGCGTTCTGTGGTTTGAGCGTGTGCAGACTGCAAATCTTCACAACCTATGTCAAGATAAGAAAGAAAGAAAGAAAGATCTTGCATCTGTATTTCCTTAGTTAAAAACCTCCTCATGCTGCCAAAGGATTTCTGTGTTTTTAATGCCCACATTTCAAAGGTGGCTGAGGAATACAAATTTGAATAATTTATTCAGGAAAATTCACTTTACTATTATTGTCCAAATGTTCATATCAGAGAGAGGAGTTGTTTAAGCCCCACTTTGAGCAGGATGTTACAAAAGTCTGAAGAAAATCATTCTAGGACTCTCCTATCTGAGAAAAGTTCTATACTTTGATCGCAAGTCTAACCATTAGAGAGATATTACATTCATTTTAAAAGTTTTTCAGCAAAATTTCAGGTTTTTACTTTGAGCAAGTGCACTATTTTAAGTTCAAAATTCTCTCAACATTGTCCTGTAATATGGATTGTGAATAAATCAAGTTTCCCTTCATTAAAATACTTGTATGTTTATTTACTCTGTCTTAAAACAATTTAATTATGTATGAGAATCAATTGGAAAAAAACTTTAGAAACCCTTGAAGAGATTTCCTGCCGGGGATTTGCAAATGTTACGTCCTTATTCAAAAAAGGCTTGTTCTAATGAAAAGTACAGAAGCTGAATCCTACAGGAGAATGGGAGGAGGGATGAAATTCAATCAGTGAAGTGGGGCTTTAGCAGGGCTTTAAGGAAGGAGAGTGAAGTGCACCTGTGGAAGTGGAGGGGGATGGAACTCTGGAGCACATCAGCTGAAGCAAGTAAAGGATAATGGATCATGCAGAATTAGTGGCCATGGAAAGCGAGAGAAAGCTGCAGTACAACGAATATTCAGCAGCTTTGCAGTAGAATCGGAATTAACATGAATAACATAGCTCAGTGTCTTGATAAGTCCAAGTACAGGAGCAGAATTTGAGGCCGTAGAGAATACCACAAGGAATATTAGAAACAGTCTGACAGAAAACAGTATCTATCTCCAGAATGGATTTTTTGTTCTCCCTCCAGTAGTTTTGAGAGTAGGTGTTATGTGAGATCCATAGATCTGCTGGTAATCTGCCTCGACTGACATGTTACAGGAGTGAGAGGGTAGGCAGTGTGGTATGCCCATCCTTTGGCCTATTCAGAGGCACCTTAAGGACCTCATTCTGGTGTGCTGTGGCACGGTGGTGGCCTATACCTTGTGGAGAAACCAGCAGCTTAACTAGGTGGATTGGTGTCAGACAAGGAAGGTCCTTCTTTGCAGCCTCTTAAACCCATTGGATGTGTTGAAAGGTTATGCCACCCTTTTTAACCCTTTCCCTGGCTTTTTGAATCTGGCTGCACGTTGCCTTTGCTGAGACCCCTGACCCCAGGCTTACTTGGATTCCTCAGGATAGTGGGACTGTCTGCAGTCATTGCAGCAGCTCCTGGCTTAAAGTAAGTAATGCTCCTCCTTGAGTTAAATTACTGCCATTGGGAACATGGGTAAGCTCCACATATCTGAATGTTTAGCCAGAGATCAGGGAATGTTGCACTGTGTAAAATCCAGCCTTCCTTAGAAAATAAATATTAAATATTTGTTAAAGTATGCTTTTTAAGATTCCAGTGCACAAACTCAGGCAACAGTGAGAGATGAGATTCTTTTTGTTCACCTTTAAACTGTGCGCTTTATTCCTGTTGATATTTCAGCCATGAACATTAATGTGGGTGTTACTACAGCAACAGCACTTCTGGATCAGTTCTATGAAAAGCGTCGTTTGCTGATCATATCCACTCCTTCTGGTGCAAATCACTACTATAGATTCCAGCTTGGAATAATTCAGGTAATGTTCACTGAAAACCAGCAGTAGATTCCTAAAGAATATTAATACAGTAATCTGGTTGGGTGGATTTTTTTTGATTTCGTTTATATATCTTAAGCAGGTCGTTGGGGGACCAGTACGCTTGATTGGTTAGATGGTTAGCATGTGGATCAAATAGTGCCATCAGTTTGGTGTTCAATCCCCTTCCTGGTTGAGGTAGATTGATGTTGGCCTTCTCACCTTACCCGTATGAAAAATCATGGCATTTTGCTGTGATATTTGTCAAAAGCCTGCGTCCAGGCAAAGAACTCAAGAAATCAGTTTCTCCCTTTTTTATCCATCCCCACATTGCCATAAACCATGTTTCTAGCTCCTATTCTGTAATTAATCATTGACCATTTTGAGTCCAGCTCTCAATTCCACTGTATGGACTGATATTAGGATCTCACTGTCTGAATAAATGCCAGCCCGAATCATTGTCCCATCATTTGAAGACAATATCAGTTACTATATCAGTGCAAGGCTCCTTTGGATATTATCCATCATCAACACAGATTTAAAATATGATATTGATTTTATCAATGGAATTACATGAAAATTCCTCTTCAACATATTTAAATTTGTGTAAATATAAATTTTTGGTCTACAGACTAAGATGTTATTTTCTTTACTAACCTATTCTTCTTCCCCCATCATGTTGCAACATTGTTTGTCTGAAGTTGATTAACTGCATTGAGAAGATAAAGTAAATCTCTTTTCAAATGGTGCTCACCATGTTTACTGCATTTTTGTCATCTTTGCTTATAACCACATCTGGAAGGAACAGTTGAGTTCAGTAAACTTCTATTGACAATAAGTTCCTATTGCAATATTAAATAATATGCACATACACATTCAGTGAACATCAGGAATCATTAGCTACAAGGTGCAGTAATAATTATTAAGTTTACTGTTGTTAAGTTTTGTTCTTGGAATCAACTGAATTCTGGCTTTTCATGGTGATTGCATTTGATTTAAAGTGTGAAATCCAAGTGACAATAGTTATTGCCTGTGTTCTTGACTATAAATAAACTTGTGTTACATGATATGGGAAAATTGCCATTAAGGAAGAACAAATATATATACTGAAGAAGGGTAGAAAGACACAGCAAATGTGAGCAGGTCCAGTATAGAATATGGTGTGCTGCCTTGGGACCTGACTATAAATAGGATATTGATTTATTGCAAAGGGCTCATTGAAAAGAACTAAACTTTGAAGAATGATGTGACTCACCTCACTGGAGAAAAGAAAACTGAGAGGACACATGGTACAGATCTTTAAATTAATGGAGTGTGTGAAATGAGAAGATGCAAGTTATATCAAAGAAACAGAGTTGAGAAAGGAATGTTTTCTTCCCTCCAGGAAGGTGTATATGTAGAATAAACTTAAAGGTGAAAAGAAGCTGGATTAATATCTGTCAAGACAATGCAACAAGGAAAGAAATTAGAGTCCCATGAAGTAGGTGGCAATGGGTGCTAGGGGAAGAAACAGGGGTGCGTTTAGTCCGGAAATAGCAAAATTATACTACTTCTTGTTTTGGAAAGGACTTCACGGTACAAATGTCCTTTTCTTGTTCTTGCCTTCATAGTAAAAATGTTAGATGTATTAATAATGACAACCTGAAGTAAAACAAGGTTTGAGTTGAAATGCAGTTCTAATTGGAACCAGGAAATGAATGCATGAGGTGTATTTTGTCAGCATGATGTGTTAATATGTTTGTCATTTCTACAACAATAACTTATGAGGCTGTGAGAAGAAAAGAATTTCATTGTTTGTCATAAAAAATCACTTTCAGTTTAAATCTGATCTTGCAGGCTTTACTCATTTTTGCTTCCTGTAATTGTACTATACCAGCTAATGAGTAGTAGCTACTTCATAGGTCTAGAATCTCATACAATTTGTACAGTGTGGAAACAGGCCATTCAACCTAACAAGTCCACACCAACTCTCTGAAGAGCATCCCACCCAGACTCATCCCTCTGCCTTATCTCTGTAACCCTGCATTTCCCATCGCTAATTCACCTAACGTACACATCCCTGTGCACTATGGGCAATTTAGCATGGCTAATCCACCTAACATGCACATCTTTGGATTGTGGGAGGAAACTGGAGCACCCAGAGGAAACCCATGTAGACATGGGGAGAATGTGCAAACTCCACACAGTCACCCAAGGGTGAGATTGAACCAGGGTCCCTGGTGCTTTGAGGCAGCAGTGTTAACTACTGAGCCACGGTGCCATCCTAGAAAGATAATTTAAATGTTTGGTGTAAACAAATATGATAAGAGAGATTTATTATTAAGAAAGCTGCCTAGTATGTTAGGTTGTGTGGGCAGAATTAGAGGACAAATGAGCAGTAAGCAAAGTCGATGGAAAAGTCATGGAAAAGGAAGTAGATGACAATCTTTTTGTTTATTCCCTACATTCAATTGTCAGAATCACAATGTTGCAACCAAATATTACAAGATAACTAGCAATATTTAATAATTAACAATTCCTATTCAAATCCTTTCTCATTTAAAGTATTTTTTGTTTTGGCCAAAAGAGGAAAATAATGCCCTCTTTTTAATACTAATGTTAAGGCATTTACAGAAGGTACTGTGATACTATAATGTAATGATCAACACATTTCAAGGCTGAAGCAGAGATGGAGTTAGTTAAGGTATATGGACTCTTCAAGCCCTTCCAGTGTAAATTGTATGTTATAGTGTTTAAGAGAGAAAGGGAATCTTCTTAATTGACTTCCAGGGAAATTACTTCCCAGTTCTAGATGTACATCTGCTTTATTGCGGCATTGGATTTTGAAACACACATTCTGACTTTTTTTTAAAAATTCATTTATGGAACGTAGGCATCACTGGCCTGGCAAGGCCAGAAATTATTGTCCATCCATAAATACCCTTGAGAAGATATTGTTGTGTCACCTTCTTGAACTGCTGCAATCCATGTGCATAGGTACATGCACAGTTTTATTAGGAAGTCTGTGCCAGAAGGTTTCATTCTGGCTCGGGGGTCACATTTTGGAGAACAAGTTTAACTTGACTGGACATCATCCTGGTGAGTCATAGGAGACTTTACCTGTCCCAAAGCTTCCTTTATGTGGCTTGGAGAAACACATCATATTGCCCCTTGTCAATAGATAAAATAAAAGAAGCAAAATCCACTTATTGTTTTGTGTTTCTTCTTGCCTGTGCTTCTGGTAATGGCTTAATTTGGGGGCTCCTCTGTGCAGCTTTCTTGTTAAAATTGCAGTTTATGTCATTGGAGCCCAAATTGCATATATAAAGAACACTCCAGCTATGATGTGACAGGTGTCCCACTTTCTGTTCAGAAGACCAATTTAAGATTCCAAATCCTAGGGTGGCAACAGGATTAGTGTGGCCAAGTTGTGTGAGTTATTTTCGCTGCCCTGGACAGGTTGCTGATTTTATTCAGAACAGCCATTGATCAAGTCTCCTGGCTCAACCAGTAAAAGTAAAATCGCAACAGTCTCAGAGGATGCTGTCTCCGTTGAGAGAAACGGGCTGGTGGTAGTTTAACCTGAGGACTCCACACATCAGGCAAGGGGTGAGGTTGAGCCCGTTGTGAGGGAAACCCCAGTCTTGACTCATTAACTGAAAACAGGCATTCACTTTGGAGAAACATTGCCCCTCTTACCTTCTAATAAAGCTGTCAAGTAACCAAGCAAACGCAATTCAAGTCCCATTGAATAAACCTTCAAACCACCTTTATAACTCTCACTTGAATCCAAATAAACTTAATATCAAGATATATTTGGTCTCATGGTGTAGGCGAAGCTGGCAAGGCTGCGTTTACCTATGTTGTTCTGTGAAGATGGTGGTCATTTGCTCTCTCAGAAAAATACCGAGGTCAGAAAGATATTAGAATATGAATTTTGAGTTTTAAATATTTGAAAATACTTTATGTAATTCTTTACAGCAAGCCATATGTGGTTTTGACTTGAGACACGTGACAGTCATAGAACTGGTTGGTGTTTACCCCGTGCTCGTAGGGAGGATAAGGGAAAAGTTCTTGTCACCGCCACTTGTTTTACAGCTGAGGTAAGACACAATTGCACATTGCTTCTGTACTTCGTGAATAAAGTTATGAATAAAGTATCAAGTTTAAAATAGTCGCCGACTCTGAAGTACGCTTAAGTTGCACAATTTAAACAGTGCATGATTTGATGCTTAAGAAATTAAGGTGTGAAGTGTTATGAAAAAAATCATGTTTTATTCTTGGGCCAGTAATATAAATGTAATGCTTTTAGCTGTTATTTATAAATTTTGTTCTGCATTTGTTACTAAATTAAAAGGTATGCACACTCTGAAGAGGCATGCAAACGTCTTTCCTCTTTTCCCCTCTTCAAACATCTACTCCCAAGAGTCTGGGGAATGTGTGCTCCCATGCTGCTGCTAGCTGGTTTCTAGGACCTACATAAGGACACTCTAGTAAAGTTTCTGTAAGCAAGCTACCTCACTGGCTCCTTTTCCTTCTACAATATGGAGGCCAGTTCCAAGTGCAACATTCCAAGAACAATCCAATCCAGTCTCCAGATAAATTGAACATAACAATCCCACTCCCGTACACTGCCCCTCCATGAATTAGTCTTCGTGCATGATCAGCCGTTCCTATGACCTTATTAAGCAGACTCACCACTTCCAGTGATCTGTGCACATGTACCCCAGACGCTTCCTGTTCTGGAGCCCCACTGAACCAGGGTTGATCCCCTGGCTCAATGGTAGTGGTTGAGTGGGGGATATGCTGGGTCATGAGGTTGCAGATTGTGCTGGAGTACGATTCTGTTGCTGTTGATAGCCCACAGCACCTCATGGATGCCCAGTCTTGAGTTGTTAGATCTGTTTGAAGTTTATCCCATTTAGCACTGCGATAGTGCCACACAACACAATAGAGGGTATTCTCAATGTGAAGGTGGGAATTGTCTCCAAAAGTTGGCCACTCTTACCAATAGTCATGGACAGATACATCTGCAGCTGGCAGATTTGATAAGGATGGCGGATGTATGTTTTTCCCTCTTGTTGGTTCCCTCACCACCTGCCGCGGACCCAGTCTAGCAGGTATGTCCCTTAGGATCCGACCAGGTCGATCAGTAGTACTGCTGCTGAACCATTCTTGATGGTGGATGTTGAAGTTTCTCACCCAGAGTACATTTTGCACCCTTGCCATTGGCAGTGTTTCCTCCAAACGTCGAAACGTGGAGGAGTATTAAATTCATCAGCGGGGGGAGGACGGTACGTTATAATCAACAGGAGGTTTCCTTGCCCATGTTTAACCTGAAGCCAAGAGACTTAATGGAGTCCAGGGTCAATGTTGAGGACTCCGATGCCAGCTCCCTCCTGACTGTATACCACTGTGTGGCCACCTCTGCTGGGTCTGTCCTGCCGGTGGGAGAGGACATATCCAGTGATGGTGGTGTCTGGGACATTGTTTGTAAGGTATGATTCTGTGAGTATGACTATGTCAGGCTGTTGCTTGACTAGTCTGTGAGACAACTGTCTGTTTTTTTGGCACTCGCCCTCAGATATTAGTAAGGAGGACTTTGCAGGGTCGACAGGGCTGTTTCTACTGTTGTCTTTTCTGGTGCCTAGGTCAATGCCATGTGATCCATCCAGGTTAATTTCTTTGTTGAAATAATGTGTTATTCACAAAATTCACATGAGCTTAATGTGTAGTAGATAAAATCTAAAGTTTCATGCTGTATTGTTGTCATAATGGTAGTGACTTTAAAATACAACTGAGATTGACTGGGATTTTGATTTATTTAAACAATAAAGAAAGAAATAAGCCACAATGAAAAGATTATAATAAATCCCAGATGATAACCTGTGCGCTTGTGACCATAGATTACCATCCCTACCACTCATTCTTCTTGATCTCTTTGCAACCTTTTGAAACTATTGACTACACACCGTCCTCTCAGCCTTCCTTCACTATCCAGCTGTGAGCGCAGCTGCCTTAGCTTGGTTCTACACTTCCCCAAACGACTATCACTGCTTTTCTCTTTTTAGATGTTTTCTCTTGGTGACATCAGCTGAAGATGTGCCATCTTTCGACAATAACCAACACCACCACTTCATGAGCTGTCTGGGTGGGCCTCATCACTGTCTGTGCTGTTAGCCTGGTTGTCTGGCATCGATTCCATCTCCCATGTTCATACTTACACAACTGTGCCATCGAAAGTTGATCCCTGTCTTCCTCAAAACAGCAAATGTACAATGGTACTCCTGAAGGGAGTTTTCATCTTGATAAGGGAACTAGGGAACCCCAAAAAAATTCTGCACGGCCTTTAAAAGTTCCCATATTCTGCGCAGCCTTAGTGTAACAAAAATATGTTTTTGGCGCATGATAGAAATTTTAAAAAAATGTAAAAACCACAAATACTTAGCAAGTCAGGCATCATCAGCTGAGATGATGTGTCAGATCTAAAGTTAATTCTTCAAGGTTTATCCATTACTTCTACTGAGTGGCTTGCCAGACCTGCTGAGCATTTCCATTGGGTTTTTCTTTTAATGTATGCTGATGTTAAAACTTCTGGTTCAGTTTTCTGATTCAAATTCCTTCCATGATACATTTTATTGTTGGTTGGCAGGTTACTGCTTCGGATTTCACAGTCGAGTTTCAACATGGTCCTTATTGACAAGTATGGTATGGACAAAGAGCGCTATCCTTTCCCAGTCACTGCTGCTGAGCTCTTCACATTGATTGATACATTTTCTCTACGAAAGAAAGAAATCAAATTGCAAATTGAAAATGGTCAGTCATGCAATTGATTCCTAAAGTTCAGAATGATCCTCTGGTGGAATTGCAATTTACTAGGTGCATTTTTAAACTATATACACAAATATTGAAATGCTATTAATATATAAAAAGTACCATATCCTGGAACTTTTCTATTTAGTTTGATACCTTTTGCTACGTATTGTTTTATTATTATGAATATGTAAAGTATTGTGCATGATGTAATTTATGCCGCTCTTTCATTTAAAACTGTACAACAGGAGTCATACAGCACGAAAGCAGACCCTTTGGTCCAAATCATCCCCACCAACCATGTTTCCAAACTAAACTAGTCTCACCTGCCTGTGCTTGGCCCATATCCCTCCAAACCTTTCCTACTCCTGAACTTATTCAAATGTCTTTTAAACGTTGTAACTGTACCTGCATCCACTATTTTTTCTGGTAGTTCATTCCACTCATTAACCATACTCTGTGTAAAAACAAAAATTACCCTCATGTCTTTTTAAATCTTTCTGATCTCACCCTAAAAATATACCCTCTAGTTTTGAACTCACCCAATCTAGGGAAAAGACCCTGGTCATTCACCTTATCTGTGTCCCTCATGATTTTGTAAACCTCAATAATGTTACCCCTCAATCTCCTATACACCAGTGAAAAAGTCTCGGCCTTTCCAATATTTTTTATATCTCAAAACCTCCATTCCCTGGTAAACATCCTGGTAAATCTTTTCTGAACCCTCTCCAGTTTATTAATATTTGAAAATAGTATGCCTGGGAAGATTTAACTTAGTTTAGGAATATGCCAGAATTGTTTATTCTATTGTTTGCACATCTTTAAAAAGAATAGATTATATTTTAGTGCAATAATGAGCATTTAGTGTTGATTCTTATTATTGACAAATGCCACTTGTTGTCACACTCAATCTTTTCTTTCTTGCTGGTTGATTCCATTGCCTCTGATTAACAATGTACTGCTGATATAAAGTTCTATTTACTACATATTGCTAATTTTCCTCCTGACTATTGTATAGAAATTGGAGATCCAAGTTTTCTGAGTGCTTTCAGTGCTTGGTCATTCAGGTGACGTATTTCAATGAAGATTTAAGACGGCAATAATTATTTTTTGCAGGGTTTGTAGGGAAGAATAAATATAATGAGTACATTTAACTACTAGTCTGAATTTTTACGTAGAAAATACCTATTGGTGAACAATCCAGTACAGTTCAGTGCAGCCAAAATTTATGATATTGCATTATATTAGTTCATTCTTCTGCATGAACACGTTAGAAATGGATGCAAAGGCAGTCTTTGTATTGAAGAAATAATGTACAATAATTGGCATAAATCTAGTCACATTCTTTTGTGAGTATGTTTGTATGTGTTGAAGCAACCATTCAATAAAAGAATTAGAGGTTGACAACATTGTAGAAATCATTACTGTTGTACTCAGGAAGATTTGTAATTCACATCCTTAAGGTTAATGCTGTGCAAGGGTTTAAATATGTATGAAACAGACCTGAAGACCTTTCATGGAGAGATAAAAGATGACAGTGAAAGTAAAATTGAGAAAAATGCATTTTTCACATCAAGTACCATATACTTTGCAGGTAAATAATATAATGCCAATAGAGTGGTGTCTTCAATGAACATGTTATCTTTTCATTTATTTAAAATCCTACATGATTTCCCATTAGTTACACTGGGGTATAATAGTTTGTGTTCTTAAAGTGTCTAAATTTATTCCATTTACATATTTAAAGACTGCTGCGCTTGCCTGGATCATTGACAGACTCATACTCTAGATCAATAGTCATGAAAAAGCTCATGGTTTATAATAGTCATGAAAAATAGTCAATACAAAGACTTGGAACAAAATTCCCCAGTGAACACGCTTTAGGGAGCTCGAGGAGACTTTGAAACGTGAAAATAACTGGAGCTGTGAGGAGCAGAATAGTAGGTTTCACATTAGTGTGGTAAGCAAATGGACTTGACTGACGGTTTGTTTATTTCATTAATATGCCTGTTCTAACTGAATGTTGCAATGTTGTAAGGCAAACCATTTCCAGTTGCTTGATGATGAGTAGAAGGTGATTGATGAATCAGAAATGGGAATATTGACTGATTATTACACCATATTTAGCACCATTTTTGTTTCCCTTCAAATCATAGATTTGTTACAGCACAGGATGCCATTTAGCCCATTGTGTCCATCCCTGCTCCCTGACGAATCAATTCACCTAGTGTCGTTCCTCTGCCTTCTAGGCATAGCCCTGCACATTCTTTCTTTCAAGTTAATAAAGCAATTTCCTCTTGAATACTTGAATTGAACCTACCTCCACTAAACATTATTTACCAGAAACTTAAGTGGATCAGCCATATAAATACTTTGACTACAAGAGCAGGAGATGAGATTGGACAAGTAACTTACCTCCTAATTTCCCACTTGCTTGGATAAATAGTTGACACTATCGAGGGCAAAGCAGCCCACTTGATCTGCCACCTTACACATGTCCCTTACCATGTAGAGTGGCAGCAGTATGCACTATAAACAAGCCTGTATTCTGCCCAGAAGGCCCAAGGCAGTGGACATATCTGATACCCACCAACTTGCAAGTTCCCCACCAACCAAGCCACATGCCATCCTGATGTGGAACTGAATCGCCATCCATTGTTGCTGGGTCAAGAGCTTGGAATTTGGGTCAACAGTATTGTTGGTGTACCTACATCATCAGATAGACTCAACTCAAGAAGCTCACTTTCTCGATGGCAATTAGAGATGGGTAACAAATGCAGACCTTAACGGTAATGTTAACATTTTTAAAAAAAATGTGGTTTAAAAGGTGTTCTAAAGAGCAGTTATATTGATTTTTAACGTGAACGCCTTCTCTCCACAGATACTGCCAGACCTGCTGATTATTTCCAGCTATTTGTTTTTATTAATTGCTGAAAGTTTATTCTTTTGAGCTACGTCAATGAGGATTGATAACCTGTGAAGTGAAGGAGGCAAGTACAAATGTATTAATCTAAATTCTTGTTCAGAAAAGAGCGCCACCCATTACATTTTCTGTTTATTATTTTGAAGAAAATGTGTACCTATATGTTATCTCACTAGCCATATGCATGACCAGGGGCGTGATCAGCACAGGGCTAATGGTGGGTTCTTGCTTACCTAACTTGAAAAGTTTTTATTAGAACTAAAAAGAATTTCTTGTAGACTTAAAAAAGCAAAATGGTAGACGGAAGAGGATCATGACTGTGAGAACTGCTCGTGGTTTTCTTTTGGAACATTTTTTCTAAAAACTCAAAAATAAATGCTTTAAAAGGGAAGGAGAGAGTGTTTTGGGAGCATAATCACGTAGCAAGGTTGGAGACTGAGGAATTGTATAAGGCTCAGAAATCAGCTTTTTGCCAGCCTTTTCCCTGCATCCTCTGAGGAAGAAAATCACTTTCTAAAACATTTGCCTGATGCTTGTGTCATTTTCTCCAGATGTTCACTTCTGGTAATTTGTGGTATTTGCCATCTCTATCAGAATGTGATTTAGGGCAAGGAATGTTTGAGGTAATTTGCTGCCACCAATCTTGCTTTGTCTTGGGCCTATCTAGTGATCAATGTTAGAGATTACACCACCATAAAGTATCAACAGAGGAAGTACTGTTCTCAGATAACAAGGAGGTCTATTGCATGTTAGTAATAAGTACAACTACATTTGGTCAGGTGTAATATTAGAACTTCCAACATTTAAAAGACATTTGGACAGGTGCATGAATAGGAAAGAGTTAGAGGGATATGGACCAAATGCAGGCAAATGGGACTAGTTTAGTTTAGGATACCTGGTCATCGTGGATGAGTTGGACCAAAGGGTCTGTTTCTGTGCTCTCTGATTCTAGTGACTTAGTAATAGTCCAAGTTGTTTGATCAAAATCAGTCAGTCATGAATCTTGAATTGCATCTGAAAATGCCAAGCTACTGCACTAATTAAAGTTTAAAACATTGTATTTTTCCATTGTTAGCTCAATTGTGCATTTACTGTTTAGACGATTAAAATACAATAAATATGCTGCAGCAATTTTTTTTAAGCTGGGATAGAATATCTCACCTGTTTGTGACCAGAAGGTTACCTGTCACTTTAATATGCCATCCTAGGTGGAGTGTTTTACAGCTCTTTTGCCAGCTATTAGGTAGAAGGGGTATTGCATGGAAAGGAAACTTACAAACTCTAGCTTGACATTCGTCTTTTTGATGCCAAGCTAACATTTATGTAAGAAGTACTGTGCTTTGGCTGTAGAGATCGGACTGACTTAGCTGGTGAAGACTAAATCAGCCTGCCCCTTGGATTGAAAGGAACAATTTTCCTGCTGTTGGGTTTACATGTGGAGGTGCGTTGAGGACTGTGAAGTTCACCAGATGGCTTTCCCACTGGGCTCCCACCCACCCAAACCTCACCACAATTCATGACTACTTCAGGGCCATTTTTATGTGCATTATAAAATAAATGTGTTGCTTTTGTTGTATGCTTAATTAAAGGTTAAAGGTTAAGAACAGCAAAGGCATTATAAATCCAGCTATTTAAATTTCCCCATTACTTTACATGATGCTGCTAAATGGATTCCAAGTTAATCAGAATGAGTTATTTAAGGAATATAACTTAAATATATTAAATGTTTAATGAAAATATTTATGAAAGATAACCTAGTTCACTTTTATTAATATAGCTGAAAATGACTATCAAAATCTCATAATGATTAGTTAGATATATTTAAAACCTTATAAAACATGCCAATTAGTGCTTATATTCTTAAAGATATACAATAAGTGGAAAATTGCATTGGAGATTTCTTCACTCTGTCTGCAGATGTGGCTTATTTTGAGGGAAGCAGTGGCTTCTACAGCACGATGTTTTGATCTAGTTCTGAAAATCTATAAAAATCAGAAACTCAGCTTGAAATTGAGTCCATCACATCATGAGTCATCATGTCTGTGCCACGTTTCTGCAAGAGTGACTCAGCTGGTTCCACGTTCTGCTTTTGCCACATAGCCTTGCAAGTTTTTCTCTTCCAATTATCCAATTTCCTTTTGAAAGGCATGATTAAGTTTGCTTTTACTATCAGAAAGTATGTTTTAGATTCTAACTGCTTGCTTCACATAATGTATTTCCTCATGTTGCCTCAGGTCTTTCCACAAGTCACCTTAAATCTGTCTCCTTTAGTTCTCGAACCTCCGCTAATGATGCAGTCCCTCCCTATCTACACTTCAGATCACATATGATTTTCAACAACTGTGAAATCTCCTCCTCCTGTAATGAGAACAGCCCAGGTTTTCCAATCTATTCCACATAAC